GCGAGAGAGCACCCGGCTGACAAAGTCTTATAACCTTTTCTCGGTGAAGGCGTCCAATATGATGTGAGTCCGTAGCCATCTATCGCAATGCACTCAACCTCACGCCTAAATTCTCTTGTGAGCCACTTGCGCTGTACTGAACAATCGCTATTGTCAAGTCAATCAGTGGGAAATTCAAGTCACCCATAATATGATTTTACTGGAGCAGTCGAGTATCAGGTCCGAAAGAAATGTAATTAAGTCCGGAAAAGCATCAAACTTACATGAACGGCTCTTGTAAATCGTAGCTACAATAACAACTTGACAACTAATAGTGACCTCCATAAGGATTGCTTGGCAGTACTCAGAGAAGTTTTTGGATACATACAAGTGGTGGGGGATTCCTTGCGTAGAGCTACAATGACACCTCCTCCAGGCCTGTTGCCATCTCTGTCACAACGGTACACACAGTACTTACCTTGACAACTTAACGTTGCGTCGCTAATCATATGGGGTTCGCACCAGCTCTCAATAATAAAAACACCATAGATTCTGCATCAGTAACATATCAAGTTCATGGATTTTTCTAATCATCCGGGCATGAAAAAGTAGAAATCTATTGAACAAAGACGACTTAGCAAAGCAAAAATTTTGAGAAGGCGCGAGCAAGGGCCCATCCGCGCACTCCTCTTTATCGCGAGGCGAATCACCTTTTAAACTCCCTTCCTCGACTTCCCCTTAGGCTGATTGGCCAGTTCGTGCAAGGCACCTACCCGGGTAGCTTTATCGATCGACACCACACTAGGACCTTTGATTGGTTCCCGCCAAGCGTCATCTCGCGAAGGGGCCAAGGGTGACGTCATAGGTGATCGATCGGCTAGAGGTGTTGAAGGAGTGACTAGAGCAGAGTCAGGAGAGGGAGCAGGAGCTTCCTCAATGGAACTGGAACGACTAATGGGGCGCGGAAGGTCACGAGAAGTTTTGAGCTTATAGATTGCAAGATCGCACAACACAGTTTACCCTCATTTGCATTGAGCTGCCCTGCTCTCTTTCTGAGCTGTCTGTCATAATCCAAATCTTCTTTGGTGCAATCTCGTCTCGCATAAGAATGATGAAATTTTTGCGTCAGTGAGAGCCAGAAGACGGTCGCTAAGCTCTTGCGAGGGCAGGTGGATCTTGATTATTCTCGGTTTCCTCAGTGGCACTACGATTGGGAATCGCGCTATTTTAATCTTACCTGCTTTCCACTGGCTCAGTAGCTCGCCATAGCAAGAAGCATCGATGAGCTCATTGAGCGCTTCTCTGTCGAAATCCGATGTAGCCCTCTCATCACACTGTTCCTCGACGCTGACCCAGGCAATGTTACATTCTTGCTGGCGATATCTTTGGAATCTGAGTGAAAAGTAATTAAAGTGGTATACAGCTCATTGTTAGCATGCACAACACTCACTTGATCGAATAAGCGGTTTTCAATGGTGTCAATCTTCCTCACTATAGCCCTGTGAGACTGATACATAGAGATTTATAAGTCAAACATCCGACAAACCTGGTAAAGTAATCATCATCATTTATGTATAGATTCCAGCCAGGGGAGAATAACCATCCTTGCAACCGTTGCATCCATTACATTTCTTCGGTGGCATTGGAGACAGGACAGATAGCGGCTGCACGCGACGACAGATCAGTGGAAGAATGACGACAGATCAATGGAAGAATGCGTCTGATCGTGACGAAAGCACTGCCCCGAAAGCACTCCATACATAAGGCAGCGTCTATTCTGAAGGGACTGACTGTGCGGTTGTTCAGGTACTAGCTGTTCCCATTCCGAATGATAGTGAGGTGATAAGGAAGAAGGGCTGATAGCACAAAGAGAAAATTCATTCAACCACTCCCTCTCTCTCTACTGGGAGTTGTACGAGCTCGTTCCGACATGGGATCCTATCTAAGATATTCCCGGTGATTTTTCCCTCTGTTTCCTCTCGTGTTAGTTATCACGTTGTCATCAACATTTGAGTCCTGCTAAGCAGCATTTTTGATCGCGGGATGTGCCTTCAAGCGTAACACGCGGTATCATGCCTCGTTGACGCTCGTTTACTGGTGGTCAGGTACTGATCGTCAGAGACAAAACCGATTCCAGTAATAGTTGCCTTTGCAAAACTCAGCTTCTGTAGCAGTAATGTAGCGTCAGTACTGCACGTTGCAATACACACATGCCTCACCTTGTAGTACTCCGTAGATTTTTGCAGTGTCGATCAATAATCCTGAGGATGGTAAAAGACACACTAATCAGCTCATACCTCTCCAAACTTCTGCCTTATTATTCAGGTGAAGCTCTGAACTCTTACAGTTGCATGCCGATTGTGGATTGTTGAAATGACTTATTGGGTGAACGGTTTCATTACAGCAAGATCGCGAATGGTTCAAAACTGAACTGTCAACAAGAAATTTCTAGATAAGTCAGTCAATGATGCTGGTTTCCATGTTCCTACATTCAGTTCGGGTGAGTCACTCAAAATCATCTGACAAATTTTAGATGTAGTCTTTCAGGACTTTCCTTCGGGGGGATTTCCCACACTGCAAGTTTTCTTAAGAAACATTCCGTCATTCAGTCTCCGCGTGTTCGCTCAGTTCGTTGAGGGCGAAACCAATGAATGTGCGTGCAAAATAAGATATCTTGTAAAATACTACTGTGTAATATTATACTGCTGTGCTGTATATTGTATCACTGATCAAACATCTTGCCACTGTTCAC